TTGGTTCTGCTTCTTGCAGTCCAAAAGCTTGACCTGTCTTTTACAGGTCACTCTAGTAGTCCGCAAACTACTCCAGCTGTCTTTCCTCTAGTAGAGCATATCCAAACCCGTTCTGGGTCTTCTCCAAAGGTAAAAAAAAATGAACTCAGAGAGAGCTCAAAAAACCACCACCAGTACTAGGGTTTTTAAACAACCAAGAAAGAAAAAAAAATGAGGAATAAAAAAAGGAGAACGGTTGTTTTAAGTTCGAACCAGGAGGAAAAGGTATCAAAGCTCCGATACCATGTTTTCTAAGAAGAAATAGAAGAAAGAAGAGAAGAAGAAAAGATGTGAGAGAGGCAAAACATAATGCGGGCAGTGGCAACCATTCTATTATATACTAGGGCGATCAAATACAAAAGAAAAAATTACAACAGTGTCCTAGTAATCGACTACTAGAAATCTATTTGATAAGTAGTCGGCCACTAGGAACAGTATGCTGATAGTAGTTGACTACTAAGAACAATATGCTGATAGTAGTCAACTACTAAGGACAGGACTACAATCTAGGTCTCACAACAATTACATTTAACATCCCTGGGAGATAACCTCCCAATAGAAATTGGCTTCTGTTCAGCCCCTAGCCATTGAATGAGCTAAAATATTGACTAATCTCTGAAGCCATAAAAATGTTTTCCTAAATTCCTTGGCCAATTGTTTTATTTCACAGATAACATGTCTGCATTTTCAAGAACCAATATTGTTGTTTTTAAGCCAAACCACAACTATACAAGATTAGCGTTGCATGGACTCTCCTAAATGGCTGAAGTGTCTGTGCTGGACAACATCTTCATGGATTCTTAAGGGACACTTCTACATAACACTTTCATTTTTCTCATTGTGTATTTCACATGAGTGAAGAGCTAACATACATGTTGTATGTTATTCTTCCTATATAGTGTTACTTAAGTAACAGGAAGCTTTCAAACCCTATGAAGTTAGTATTAAAATAGATAGACTATTTCATATGTATTTGTAGACATGCCTGTAAATGCACTCATAATTGAACAATGGATATGGCACTGAACAGAACAGAATGGCAAAACAGGATTCATGCAGCTGACCCCATATAGTTGGGACAAGGCTAAGATGATGATGCCTGCAAAATACAAGTTTTTTGACTTTCCAAATCAGATTCCTAGGCACACCTCAGACTGCAAATCCTATATATGTGTCTGCAAGCCTTAAAGAGGCTGGCCTGTAGCCACCTCATCCATATCCATTTTATATACACTTCCCCAAAATAATTTCTGTCTATCCACCCTGTATTTGGCCATTGAGTCTGCCAGCTCATTTGCTAATCTATGGATCTATATATCTTGCAAGTACATAAATTTCTTTGTTGATGTTCCTCTAGTTTGATATTCCTAACTTGCTGTCTAACCAATTTTGAGTCACCTTTTTTTTTTGATAAATGATAGAAACTTTATTAAAACAGAAAGGTAGCGTCACATTTGATTACAATATACACCCAACAGAGGCGCAAGATGCATCCCCATCCAGAAACAAAATTACAACTGAGCCCAGAATAATTCAGATTTATGCACCCCMCCCCCACCCCCAGTTTTGCAAAGAAGTCAGCCATCCCATTGGCTGAATGCCTTTCTCATTACAGTTTCAGGTTCCTTCAGCCACCCTATTATCARTTTAGCCACATTCAATTAACAGCTCTCATAATTCAATTCTCTAGCAATCTGTTTTCCTTGTAAAACAGCTTGGAACTCCGCAAAAACCGAGTCCCCTACTCCAACTGGACCTGAAAATACAGCAACAACATGACCTTCAGAAATTCTAAACACTCCCCCTATACCAGCTGGGCCTGGGTTCCCTAGACTGCTACCATCAAAATTCAGTTTGATGAAACCTTCTTCCGGGGGTTTCCAAGCCACAATTGGTATGTTCCTTACAGTAGACCTTCTAGCTACAGCTTCGAAATTTCTCCACATATCATCAAAAGAGAAGTCAGAAAAAATATTTAAGGACTTGGCCCACATTATAGCTCTATATAAAATGCATTCCAGCATTGCTTCCTGACTTCTTTCTTTATCATTGAACACTCTACCATTCCTTTCCTCCCCCACCATCCAAATCAATACAGCCATGACACACCTCCACAAAATTTTACCTCTTCTCTTTGGCCAACCGAAGGTCGTTGAATCAAATAGACTTCCAATCTGCATAGGTAAATTCCACCTGTGACCAAAATGTTCAAAAATCTTTTCCCAAAGAGTAACAACCAAAGGACAGGATATCAGGAGATGGTAGTGGCTTTCTCCACTTGCTTTACACAGGGTACACTAGTCACCAGTTAGGGGGAAAGGCATAGAAAAGGTCTTCTTTTTTGAAAGACATCCATGTGTTTATTTTTCCATGAAAAACTTCCCAGCACAAAGCCCCAACCTTGTTTAGACCAAATTTCCTTAACAGGGCAATGAGAAGAGATTGGGTCTAAACACAAAAAGGAAAGGAAAGAGGCACAAGAAAGGAGACCTTTGGGATGTGGAAGCCAAATCCAACCATCAGACTTAAAATAATCCAACACAAAATCAAGAACTTGTAACAGTGAGGTTGCCCTTTTAGATTCATGGTCCCTTAAGTTACTTCTTAGACCCAAATTCCAGCTTAAACCGGTTGACAAGGAGAGGGAAACAAAATGAGAAACAGGTTCTTTTTTGAACAAAGAGAGGGAATAGAACAAGGGGAAAAGATCTTTAAGGGATGAATTACCAAGCCAAAGGTCCTCTCAACGAAGAACTTTATCTCCAGAGAAAACACCATACCTGATTTGGCTTAGGAACTGAGGGAGCACTCCACATGGATTTCCAAGGAGAAGCCAAAGTAGCCCTCGAAGTTACTCCAACATCCCAACCATTGCCTGTAAAACCATGGATGTTACCAATCACCTCTTGTCACAATCTCCCCCTCTCTAGAGGTCACCTCCAAAGCCAATTACCTAGTAAAGACAAATTCTTTTTTCTTAAATTTCCTATACCTAGTCCCCCCCTGATCTTTACTTTTGCACACTAAATCCCAACTGATCAAGTGATCCTTCCTACCTTCCCCCAGCTCCCATAAGAAATCTCTCATCAATTTTTCTAGTTTCATAACTTCCCTTCGTGTCATCCTAATAACCTATAGGTAATAGGCTGGCGAATTAATGTGGATTTTATCAGTGTAATTCTACCTCCTAGAGAGATATAATATCTTTTAGGTTGCCAATCTCTTAGTACAACTCTCTACAACTGGGTTCCAAAACCTACTTTCGATTTGTCTCCTAGCATCATCCCAAGGCATTTCAAAGCCCAACAAACAATAGGGAAACCTAAAGACTCCACTACTCCATCTAGCTCCTCCTGCTCCAAATTTATTCCCACCACACAACTCTTCTCAAAATTAATCTTCAACTTAGAGATATATTCAAACAACCTAATCACCTCCTTCAACTACCTTGACTTCCTTAGATCCCCACCTTCATAGAAAAAAATTGTATCATCTACAAATTGTAAATGTATTACCATTGTAATATTCCTACCTACTCTCCAGCCTTTAAAGAGATCTATCATATCTGCTCTTAGAAGAAATATTCTAAACGCATCCGCTATTAGGGTAAAAAGGAAGGGAGAAGGAGGTCCCCTTGTCCTAATCCCCTAGTAGCTGGAAAAAGGTCCCTTACCACACCATTCACCAAGACCGAGTAATGACAGGTTTACAAGAACCCTTTGATCCATCTACACCATCTTTCCCCTAAATCATAACATTTCAATACTTCTAATGGAAATATCAAATCCACCATGTCATAGGCCTTCTCCAAGTCTAATTTACACACAAAACTTTTCCTCTTCCTCTCCACACATTCATTAGCTATCAGCATTTGATCAATAATTTTTCTACCTTGAATATAATACCCTTCAGATTGTGTAATCAAACTTGGGAGGACCTCTCTTAATCTGAGCGACAATACCTTCCACCAAACTGTTTTTGAGGTTCAGACTCCCCAATCCATAGTTCTTGTAGTACTGCCATCACCTCAGCCCTTTTAGAATTATCCACTCCTATAGGACCCAAGTGTATTGCCAATATTAATTCCAGGCAAATCTCTAATGACTCATATGCCCGATCTTCCTGGATTTCCAAGGCTGCACCCATCAAAGTTGCGATTCACTTGATTACTAAGTGGTTCCAATGTCAAAGCGGTCTAGATCTGTGGGGAGAAAAAAAGCCATCGAGTACCACCCTCTCAAGATATCATCTATTGAGAATTGACCAAACCCCTTCCCCCACTCTGTAATTTAGAGGTTTAGTCGGTCTCAGCCCATGGGCCCAGAAAAAAATAGTAAAGATAGTTTCATGAAAAGCTCTACCTAAGCCTGAAATTCTTGAGTTGCCTAAGCTGCATCCATCAGAACTTAATCAGGATAAGGACAGGAGGGGCCCAGATTGAACATGTGATGGTCCTAGCTTATGTAGAGCAAGCAACAATCTTCCATCCCATAATAAGATCATCAGTATAAAAGGGGAGAAAGACATTCGTACACACCCAATGTGCCACTTTCACAGATGTTTTCAATAATAGCATTTTTAGTTTAGGTCTTGTCTCTAGAAATTCTTTCCCTTCTATTTTTTTATTACTATTTCTTTCCCTACTGTTTTCTAATCAAGGAAAAAAAAACAACATTCGAACCACTCATTTGTTGAATAGTCCATAAAAATAAAAGAGTTACAAAACATATTTAAGTTTTCTTGCTTTTATCATTCAACCAGTTGCAAACAAGTAAACCAAGTACAGAATAAATAGTCGAGTAAAATATGCCTACACTATACAGCTTATCATATAACATGCAAGAATAAGCTTCAAAGCTCATAAGAAACAAATATTAAAAATTTAAATAACATTTGCACATACATAAAAGAATTTTTTTAAACAATCGCATTATTGAGAAACAAGTATAAACAATGAATACCTTTGATGCAGAAGTCATGGACCTCAAAGATGTCATTCTTTCACCTTTTTCTGACAATGAACCTGTTCCTTCATCACTCTTGCAACTCTTACAGCTACCGCTGCAATAAAATTGTAAACACCAAATCCACAATAGTAGGATGTAAGTCCTGGGTTATTTGCACCAACATATCAAAGACAAACTTCAAGCCAAATATGTACTTGAATGCATGTAGCCTTGTTGATGCTTTGTCTTCCTCCTGCTTTTGCTTGATTTTTGCAAGTTGCTCTACTTTTGCAACATAGTTATTCTGGTCCATGGGATATAGGTAATTATGAAGTTAAAAGAACATAGAATGGGTAAATACAAAATTGAATGGAAACTATGCAGAATGGTTACATTTAGGTTACTCTAGAGCTTACCACCATCATATAAGCACATACAACTAAAGTCTATTCCTTCAACACAATAAAGTACACAAGTAACACCTACTCTTTTTTCTTGGATAGGTAGTAATGCATACTCTTATTGTTAAACTTTGCCTTTTTTTAACTCTTTGTTTTCAATACAATTAACTTCTTAGAGCATGAAAAGGTTTCACCTTACAAAAGAAAACAGAAAAAAAAAATCAAAAAAGAAAAACAAGAAAAACCAAGACCAATAGCTAACATCATCTGCAATGATACAAAGCAGACCAAAAACCAGAACCAGAAGTTCTATTGATATCTTCAAACTACAGTTACACTAATAACCATTCCAAAAGTGATGGATAAATGCCAGACATAATTCTATTCGATTGCTGCTTGCTTTCAAAGATATCTTTGTTCCTTGCCTTCCAAATACCACAACAAACCATAAAGGGAATGATGTTCCATGTGGGGATATATGTAAACTGGAGGTGGACATTTTGGTGCCTGGAAGAGAGCTGAACTTTGGATGGAAAGATAAGGCCAACCCTGCACATTATTGGAGCACCTTGGTTGCTAATAAGAATGCTGAGTTGCAACGCCTTACTGAGTTGCAACGCCTTTCAAATAGAAAATAACCCCCAAAACTGAGTTGCTTTTAAAGGAAACCGTAGAAACAATCTTGGAGAAATATGAAAGAAAGAGCAGCTGCACCTCACAGAGATTTCAATAGCCCTACCTCCTATTACAAAACTTCAGGAGAGCTGAAAAAAAAAAACTACCCAGAAACTTTTGGGCGACACTTTCAATCTGAGATTTAAACTCTAAATCTCACCTCAAATTAAGTTTTCTCTAACTCTTCTTGACTGCTGGGCAATCTCCAAGAACAAAAGTGTCTCGGGCAAGCTTCGAACTCCACCAATCTCCAAGAATCAGGCCACGAAGAGAACTAAATCTCCAGCCCTATTAAAATCTCATGTAGCCGGCTGGGAAGAGCTCACATGAGATTCACGAGCAGAACTAAAACTGCTCTAATACCAACTTGAGGTTACTGCTGTTAGCAGAACTTTTAGGTTGAAAAATAACCCAGAAATTGAAAGAGAAGAAGAGAGAAGAAGAGAGAAGAAAATAGAAGAAAAATAGGAGAGGAATGGGGTAGAATGTTCTATTACTGCCGCCCTATGTAGTATTATCTATATGTGTTTAACATAGCATTAGGTAAAAGGACAAAAATGCCCTGCTACTTATAACAGTACAAGAAAGCAAGCATAAAGCAAAAATAAGCAACAAAAAACTGAACTTATGGGACCACAAGTAAATATATCAGCTCTGGTCCACTATCACTACAATGTCTAGATGCACATTGCATATGCATGGTGAAGGAAGGGAAAATCCATCATATGGATGGATGAACCATGCTAGATGGTTGGGAGAAATTTCAAAAATTTCTTTTACCCTTCCGGGAATCGTATTCACAGTTTTACAAAAACTGCATTTTTCAAGGACCGTTCTTGCACCGAAACCGGACCAGATTTGAAACCAAAAGAAAGGGAGAATAATACCTGATACGGAATCCACACGTATAGTTCCCAAATTGGTAGTTCATGCCCAAAGAGGGTACCAAAACCAGCTTCCACTGAAGATGGCGCAGCTTGATTTGAAGTCGGTTTAGCAAGGCAATCCTTCAGCAAGAACTGCAATCCAACAGTTTGGATCGAGCAAGGGATGTGAGCACGAATTGAATCTGATATTTTCTTGCAAAAATCAGATATCAAAACTGATCTCTATCATTCCAAGACCTGGAGGTCGAACTAGGGTTTGGGCGGCAAGAGCAGAAGGAGAGAACTGAGAGCAGAAGTGTGTCTGGAGCAGTTCGCCTCCTCCTCCTTTTATAAGCCTTAAAGATCAGCACTCCTAATCCAATTAGGAGGAGCCTTTAATCCAAATCTTTATTTGGATCTGGACTCTTTAAGTGGATAAGAGTTATCCTCTCATCTTAATTGTTGATCCAAACCCAAATCCATACCCATATTCACCCAAGTCACATGATTGCTTAACCTGTCATTTGACATCCTGATTAATCCAATTAATCATGGGCTTTAGGCCCATTAAGCAAGTGGCTCACGTCCCCAATTAGTTGCTGGCCAATTTGGCTCTCTTTGTATGGTGTGGGACCCCAACAATGACCTCACATAAGCCCATATGGGTTCGGCCCAACTTCTTTGAAAGAGCTTGGCCGAATTCACTGATAAGCACAGTGAACCCCTGAGTCCATCAGTATGGGCTCTTAATGGGCCCAACATTTACATTAAATGGTCCTTGAGTCCAGTCATCCTATGAAGGCCCAAGGACAATGGACTTAAGTGAGATATAACCCATCAGGTAAAACAGCCTTAAATGGTCYCTTACACTTCACCTCTCAGCCCTTAATGATCAACCACTGCCCGAAAGGGAAGGACCTCTCCCTTGGCTACAAGGTACAGTGTTGCACTCTTTGTTCGGATGGATCCCATGAATTAAAACATTATGTGAAACTTTTTTGTAAAACATAATATATATATATATATATATATATATATATATTTTATAATATAAATATATTTTATAAAAACAAATCTCAAACAAGTTTGAAATCGATTGCTAGCAGTTTTGGTTTCCATCAGAGAGTGCAGTCCCGATCATTCACTTTGTCCGACAAAGGTGTTGATCCTGTCACTATGATCACCCACTCAAGTGAATTCAAAGACTGCCCCAGCATACCCAGGTTTTGACCCCCAAAGGATCTCACTGATTGGCATATCAAAGACAGCCCAATCCGACACYTAGTGCAGTACCATAATCGAGTCTAGGGGTTAGGTGTAACTTTACAGTTTTGCCCACCAGTCTCCAAGGTCCAGGGCATAATTGAAAAATGGTCCGGGTTCAGTGTTTCAAACAAACACACACTACATGTATTTCGGGCCTGACCCTAGCAGCTAAGACAAACTACCCCAACATACTTGGCAACACATTAGTGTCAGCCTTGGTAGGATAAACTTCCCCAAGTCTATCCAACAGCTGAGAACATTCTAAACTAACACGARTCTCATAAGTGTCCAGTTTAAGGGTAATTAGATAGAAATATACCAAATATAACATAAATCAATTATGTACTTTATTCATTTAAAATAAATGTATATGTACATCAATCTGATTGGAGCTAAGGGCACACATTGTCTAACACATGGATACAATGGAAAAAATATGATATGCATGGATACACCATATCGAAGACAATGGGGAGAAGCTCGTCAGTTCCAGCAATTATTGTCTTAATGCTAAGGCTGGTTTCTCTTCAGGGACACGTGATCAGGATGATGCTACTTGGCCATCTCAAGATTCTAGGCTTTACTTAGTGGAATCGTGTACAATAGTTTCAAAAAAAATGCAAAAGGGGTGGAGTTGCAGGTGGGGGGAAGACTAGGGGATAGTGAGAAACATCTAAACGATTTTATGGAGAAAAAGGTTTTTGTTGCTGTTGAAGGAGGTGGCCCCATTGGAGATGCACCTAACAGGTCTACCTATGAAGACGAGTTTTCAGCTAACATTCCAACTTATTTTGGGGAGGCTGTATGGTAAGTTGGGCGTCAATCTAGGTCAAAGGAGGAAGAATGAAGAAAGATGTGAAGCTAATGAGGTTGGAATAGTTCCTAATAAGTCTCAGGCTTCTAGCAAGATGCATATTGTCCATGTAACTAAAGTATTATCTAGGCTGAAGCTCAGATTGGTTGGAGTGGTCCCACAAAAAATTTCAAGGTCTTGAAGAGAAAGGGTGAGAAGATGAAGTTGTTAGAGTTCACTGATCCTGGTGGGGGAGAACAAATTTGCTTTTTGAATTCAGAATCACAGCTAGTTAACACTCAACATGAAATCAACAATTTTGGGGAAGGGAAAGAAGCTGATTTGAGGACAGCTGGTTTGGAGAAGGAAGGTGGTTTATATATTGAGAAAGTTGGTGAAAAGAATGTTGGAATTGGAAAAAAAAATGTTTTTTTCTTTTTGGGAGGTGAGGCTTTTGGTAGGAGAGCCTTTCAAGATTTCAAGAGGGAGGAGAGTTTGAAGAATGTCATCCTGGGGGAAAGAGGAGAGGCTTGGAATGAAGCAGATGATGGAAGGGTTGATGTGCACAAGGAGGAGGATTAGTGGAGGCTAGCACTTATCTTTTCTCTCATTTTTTATTTTGTCTTTTGCTATGGGGTTAGGGTTGAAGGGGGTTTGGTTGTTTGGTTTTGAGGGAAGTCGTTTTTAGGTTGTTCTGTTTTGAGTTTCGTGTAGGGTGGTCACCTCATTTATTGTTGGTGACTGCTTGTCACCTCTCTCTTGTATGCCTTTTACTTTTTTAATAAATTTTCTTTTATTATCAAAAAATATATAATTATATTTAATCTATAACTCTAACAACTTTAAATAAGGTATATACATAAGAAAAATGTATTTTAATGGTTTATGACTTTATGTGAAGTGTAATTTCGCCATTAAAATGTGAAGTGTAAATCTCTGGTATATCCCAAGGAAGTGTTGGCAAATGGTACAATAATTAAAATTCTACCTGCAACCAAACAAATAGAGAAGCCAAACCCAAATAATTGAAACAAAAGGATAGGAGATTAATAAGTGATAACAAATATCACCATTAGCCTTACAAAGGATACACCATATAGGGGATAAGCACCAATTAAGTCATTTTCTTTAAAGCAAATCACAAGTGTTGCACTTTTCCAGGAAAGCTTCCCAACAAAAAGCTCTTATCCTAGGAGGTACCAATTTACCCCAAACTTCCATGAGTAGAAAGGTTTGCCCAATACTATCAGAGGATTGCACTAGAGCTTTAAAAAAAGAGGCACAAGAAAAAACATCAAAGGAAGTCATGTTTCAAATCCGGCTATCCCTCCTCAAAGAATCCAATACCACCCCTCCCAATATCTAAATTAAAACTGAGACATTATTAACATAAGAGTCCCTAAGAGACCTTCCAAAAAAACCCATATACCACTCATACCCATGACTTTCATCGAAAGGAAACAAAAAAGGTAGACATTGCCTCATTTTTAAACAAAGAAAGAGAATACAAAGAAGGAAATTGTTCCCTCAGAGACACATCCCCAACCCAAATATGTGCACAAAATTTCACATGATTTCCAGAACATGGATCATACCTGATAAAAAGGTAGGAAGGAAGGAAGAATGGCATGAATGGATATCCATGGAGAAGCTTGTGTAGCCCTAGCCAAGACTCTCGCATCCCATCCTTCAATCGTTTGCCCATGAATACTTAAAATCACCTAGGCCCACAACATATACATGTCCATTGTTAATCTCCATAACCATTTCCCCAATAATGCCTCAATTCTCTTTTGAACATTTCTTATGCCTAATCCACCATCAATCTTGCTTCTAGTTACCACCTCTCAATTGACTCTATGATCTCTTTTCTCTTCCCTTGGTTCCCATAAGAAATCTCTCATCAACTTATCCAAAATTCTGCTTACCCCTTCTAGGGTCTTAAAAGCAAATAAGAATTACACAAGCAAATTGGTCAATGTAGACTTTATCAACGTGATCCTACTTCCCAACAACAAGTAATTTTTCTTCCATGATCTTGGCGAATCTATCAACCACTAGGTTGCAAAAATCATTATTTCTCAGATTATCCCTTAAAGGTAGTCCCAAATAATTCAAAGGCCATTTACAGACCACATATCCCAAAGTGTTAGCCTGTCTGCCACCTCCATCTCATCCATATTAACCCCCACAATGCAACTTTTATCAAAGTTAATTTTAAGACTTGACATTTTCTCAAATAGTTGAACCACCGACTTCAAGTTCCTGACCCACCTAACATCATCAACCTCACAGAACAGGATAGTACCATTTCCCCTATCTCTACCAACCCTCTATCCCCTCACCAAGTTTTTAGAATCCACCCTAGCTATTTGCCTACCCAAAACTTCAGCAATAAAGTGAATAGGAATGGAGAAAGGGGGTCTGCTTGCATAATCCCTCTAACTGCAAGAAAATGATCTACCACTGCTCCACCAAAATAAAGTAATGACAACTTACTCCATCTCCCCAAAACCAAAATTCTCCATCACTTGCATTGAAAACGACCAATCAAGCTTGCCACCATAGATTTCATTATCCTTCCAACCACTATTACTTGTTATTTTAAAGCTAATGTTTATGCTAGACAAGTCAAAGGGCTTATGATCCATTATCATTTTTCCCTTAAATTCCACTAGAAACCATTGCACCTAATTCTAAAAGCAGTTTCTTACTACCTTACTAACTACATCATCAAAATCTTCCTTATCTGAAGTTGGGTTGAGCAGTAAAAGAAAAATGATTGACACAAAAACAATGAGTGACTTGGTGCAAGCTGAAGACTGTAGAGGAACAAAGGGATGATCAAAAAGGAGATAGGCCAAAGTGGCAAGAAGGACCTTAGCCGTTATGATACTATAGAGGATATTTTTTTGTTAAGTGGTTTTATAGAGGGTATAGACCACGAGGAACTAGGGCTTTTTGTAGCTGATGAAAATAGTTAGGATAGATCAACTTAAACCAACTAATTTTGTCTTATGCCAAATCAAACACCAGTAATGCATTTAGATATTTTAAACAGGAAAAATTTCCTGATCATGTAACCATTCTAGAGCTCTCACTAATATTAGAAAATCCTAATTATTTGCCTCATGAACAATCCCTAGTCCCTAAACTTGCTGTCCAGCCTTCAGATATGAAATAACACACGTCAATGTGTCATCTAAAAATGTCATGTAATAATTAGATATCCAACTCTGCAGCTCATTCCTCTTTTTAGCCCCTGTGCAACTATCAGCAGCTATGAAAATGTATCAATATCAACTAATCGAGATAATTTAACAGCATAGAAAAATGGTATAAGATGAGCAAAAGAAAAGTGCGTATACATACTTCCAACTCCGCAGCATGAGCATTTCTGTCAAAGGACCTCCCCCTTTTTCCCCTCTTTTTTCCATTGCTCTTACCTAATCTCCCAGTGTCACCTGTTTCAACAAGAGAATCATTCAAGGACTCACATGAAGCGGAAGTTTCCCTCCCTCCATTCCTTGATCTTTCTAAATAAGCAATTTCATTGCTAGAGATTCTATTATCATGCACCCTCCTGCAAAATATCAGATAGAAGATTTATAAAACAAATTTATTTCCAAACTAATTTATCAAAAGTTCATAGCATATTTAATTTATAGGAACATGAAGCAAGTATTTTTGTTTGATTCACGTTGTAATACTGAATATGGAAACTAAACAATAGAGAAGCTGCATGTGCATATTTCTGGCCAGGAGTAAGGAATGGACTTCAGATCTCCTGCCCTATGGTTGCATTTTGACATATGGAAGTTGAAATAGTTTTATCTCTGGGGATTGACTACATATAATAAAATATATTGTTATTTGATTACAAGTGAGGAAGATTACAAGAAATCCTTTCTAATAGTAAATAAAATTCAGTAAAAGAAGAAAAGACAAGGGAAATATAGAAAACATATATGGGTTTTGCAGCAGAAGCGCGGTTAAAAAATGTCCACATCTCACCAAAAGTTTTAATCTCATAGTCATAGAAAAGACTTCATCACCATAACCACATTCATCCATCTCCCCCCCCCCCCCCCCCCCCCCCCCCCCCCCCCCCCCCCCCCCCCCCCGCCGCAACACTAGTAAACGAAACAACAGAGCTTGACAATATTTTTTAATTTTAGTTACAATACACCCTTCTAGACAAAATAACCTGCATTCACATCTCTATCCTCACCCCAAATGAACATATCTAGAATAACAGACCTGCATCTCTCAAATATCACTTTTTTGGGGGCCACCAATTGAGTCATCACAAGTATTAAGAGAATACTTTTTTTTTCTCCTTTCCATGTCAACCAACTCAACTTTCTCAATATCTTCTAGATTGTCAAAAAAGGCCAAGTCAACTATAGGATTGAAAACATCTTACCATTAACACCAACATAAAGCATCAATTGGTGTTGAATTGAAAACACCAACTAAAAACATCAGTTGGCATTCGATTGAAACCAGCCATCAAGATCTAAGAAAACTTTAATTATCAGACCAATTCTTAAAATTTTCAAAGGCATGTCAGTCAGGTCTAAAAGTTTAGTTTTAATAGAGTGTTATATTGGAGCTAGTGATGTCAATGATGGTTTTCTAGAAATATGTGCAGGACATTAGGTTGTCAAGTGGACAACTTCCCTTTGACCTATTTGGGTATTGCAATTGGAGCAAAGGCATCAGTTATGTCTACATGGCAGTGGTGCTGGATAAAGTCAAAAAGAGATTAGAACCTTTGAAGTAGATGTAAATCAGTCCTCAAATATTAGGTGTAAATTTGAAGATTAGAAGAAAAAAAATGAAGAAGAGAAGTTAGAGCAGCAGCACAAGAGAAGATGGCGAAAAGAGAAGGAAGAAGAAGAAGATTMGAATTATCTTCCCTTTCTCCTCTAATCCTTTTTTTATTAAGCATTAATGTTGGAGTAATGACAAGTATGCCCTTAAGTGGGCGGCCAGCTAGGCAGTAACATAAAGAGATTAAACAAAAAGAAATA